TTGGGGTAGCTTGTGAGGTAATTGAAAAAGGTTTGTATGATTGCATTACGAGGCTTGTTCCCGACCAAGAAATTCAAGATGAGATTTCATAAGAGTTAGACAAATGTCGGAACACACAAGGACTCTTCATTCTTCCCATGGCTATTAGGTATAGGATGACAAAATCACCGGGTAACAAACGCTACCTAACATGATTTTTTTTGGTAATTTATATTCTATATATTTATGTTTATTTTCTGTTTTTTAATAGTTGATTGGCGGGAATCGTGTGGATCTTCGGCTCCTAATCTAAAAAGTTTGTCATACGGGTCCTTAGTCTAACTTGTAGGGCTACAAGTTACGAGATAAATTGGAGTGTCTTTCAACACGTAAAATTTTCTTTATACCTACTTTTTTTTTTTTTTTTTTTTACTGAAACACTGCTTTTTATTATTGTTAGGAATTTGTTTTAACTGCAAATCTATTTAATTTAATGAAAATTTGTTATTTACTGAAATTTTGTTTTTTTATTGCTAGAAATTTGGTTTTCATACTAAAAATCTGTTTTTAAGCTGATTTTTTTTTAATATTACTACAAAAAAAATGTTTTAACTTGGAGGGGTGTGGCTAACCCCTTTGGTGCTTGTGAGCTTATTTATCTAACTAGAGCATCAAAAGTACAAAATGACGGAGGACACGTTCGGTAAAACTAGCTAGTAGCATAAACACTATGTGAGATTGTTTTTAGATTTGGAACATTTTGTTCAAGCTAAACGCTAAAAACTTGTAGTGCAAAGCGAGGTTTTTTGTTCAAAACGGGATGTTTTATCAAATGCTAGAAGCTAGGAACTTCTAAACGCTCTCAAATGCTCCATGACAAACACGCCCGGAGTCGGACCATCGGGAAGTGATAGAGGAAAAACTCATGTATCCAATCAACCATCTCGAAGACGTTTGGTGGATTAAGATGAGATTGAAGAAGATATTGGAGTCTATAGTCATGAGGGAGGAGATGATGTTGTCCAAATTGACAATGATGATAGTTTAGTGGATTTTTATTTACTAGGAATTTAGGATACATGGCTTAAGATTTAAGAAGATACTTTATTTTTCAAATTAGTTTCTGGAATTGATATGCATTAAACATTATACATTTTAGGGATTTTTAATTTAAGTATTTATAAGCATTTTCATTTTTTTAAAATTACGAGCACCTCATGTGCTTTAAGCGGGCGCGCTTTCGCTTAGCGCTTCGGCTCATAAAGCCTATAGTGCTTAAGGGCGTCTCATGTTATTTAAAACCAAGATGGTGCCAAAAGTTTGTGAGAATGAAAGAACATAGTGGGTACAATGTTGCAAATTTATTGTATTCCATGCCATCATCACATTGAAAATTTTTAATGGGCTAATTGAAACGACTTCAAACGGATTTTTGGAAGGCTAAACAAGAATTAGTGAAAATATGTTTAATACTTAAATTTAATAAAAAATTGTTTTCACTAAAAATTTGTTTTTATTTGCTGTTGGAAATCTGGTTTGTATAGTGAAAATTTGTTTTTTAAGATGATTTTTTTTATATTATTTATAAAAATATGTTTTTACATTTCTTTTTTTAATTTTCTTTCTTGTAGCTTCACACGAATAAAATGAATAGATTGGGACAATCTAGATTGAATGGCATCGTGTTTGTCAAATTCAATCATGCCTTGGTGCATCGAGCTAAAGATAAAGGAGAAAAATCCCATTAGGCCGTAATTTTAGAAAATAATCATGAAAGCAACGGTTGATGGAAAGAATAGGAGATAAGAATAAGGATGAGGCAATTTTTGTGGGTGAATATTTAGATTGGAGAGATGTGGCTAACAACTTTGGTGCTAACTATCTAACTAGAGCATCAAAAGTACAAAATGATGGAGAAGAGATAAATGAAAAGCTCTATCCAGTCAACTATTTCATACACGTTTGGTGGATGAAGATGAGATGGAAGAAGATATTGGAGTCTATAGTGATGAGGGAGGAAATGATGTTGTCAAAGTTGATGAGGATGATAGTTTAGCACATTTTTAAATATTAGGATTTAAGGCTTAGGAATTAGAAATTAAGATGGTTTGAGTTTCACATGAGTTCCACTTTTGTGATATGCATTATGCATTTTATAATTATGTATAAATATATTCATATTTTTTAAATTCATGGAAGCTATGTGTGCTTTAAACGAGCATTGTCACTTACCGCTTAACGATTCGGCTCCTAAAGCATTTAGCGCTTAAGAGTGCTTTATGCTATTTAAAACAAGGTGGTTTGTATAGTTACTTACACCAAGCGATGTGACTTTTTCGGTTTTTTTATGTGGTGCAATTTTATTCGATTACGGTTCGGTTTCAATCCATATATCTTGGTGCGACTTTAGACTGCATAACTTGGTTTGGGTTTCAATCCATGTATCTTGGTGCGACTTTAAACTACATAACTTTGGTGTAGTTTTTATGTGTGTTTTAAATACCTTTAATTTTAAAACACCATAGTGTGCTAATTGCTATTGTCAAAAGAAGAAGAAGAAAAAGAAGAAAGTCCATCGAAATTGAGGTTAAGCTACCGGTACTAGAAATTGCTAATGAAAAATTAAGTTATGCTATTGGAAATTGCTACTGAAAAGACTCGGGGTATGCAAATATCAGGAATGGAAAAAAAAAACTGAGGTTATGCTACTGCAAATTGCTACTGAATAAACACAAATAAACTTTATTTGCAACTGAACAAACACAAATAAACTTATACAAACAAACGCAAAAAGATTTTAGGAAATCGCCACAAAGATTTCTAACTGATTTGAAATGGTAGATGACGAGAGTTTCAAGAAGTATAAAAAAACAAACACAAAGAAAAATTACATACCTCCTGCAGGTGCCGCTGCTGCCTGCTGGATTCTCGCCAGAGATGTTGGGACCTTCGGCGATGGTTTGGTGGTGTTGCGGCGTGGCTAGTTAGGTATCGGTGCTCATCGATTCTTGGATGCCTGCCTGCTGGGTGACAATGTTGAACTGATAAAGTAAAGAGACATGAGACAAGAGGCCCAGAGCCAAGGGACAAAAGAGACAAACAAAAGTCGAAGACAGTGTTAGGGTACACTTTCAGTGAAAATTGAAATCCTCCTCTTTCTCTAAAATCTCCTGCTTCCATTTTTTAAAATAATTAATATATTAACAATTAGATCATTCGTTATGGTTTTCACGATCACAACCTCCTTCCACCTCCACATCCTCCCCAATATGAACCACCCAATGTTCTAAATAACGTAAGGCGTGACTTGGCGGTAATGTCAAACCTCAAGTTTTTCTGAGTTTTGGCGAGTCACGACGTTTGTAAGGCGTGACTTAAGCGGCAAATTTCAATATAATTAATATTTTTATATGTATTTTCAACTATTATTCATTTTTATACACATATATGAGTTAAGGCGACGTTTCAGCAAAGCTTGGCGGCAGGTGCAAGCCTTAGAGTTGTGGCGTGCCATGACGAGCTTTTTAGAACATTGGAACCACCATGATCACGATCCACGACCAGGCACCAAGATGGTGTGCACGATTGGTCGTCATCTCCCGTCCTCCCCAACACGAACCACCACAATCACGAGCCACGGCAAGCCACCGGGATGGTATGCACGATCGTGGTTCGTGGCCAGCTAGACCACAAATGCCTTTATCTTGGGCACCAGACGACCTTACAAAACAATCAAAATAAAATGCAGTTTTGGTCCCATGGTTTGCAAAAATAATTATAGTTAATATGTTAATTGTTAACAAACTTTATTAGGAAACAAAACAGTTTATGGCCTCGTTGGTAATACATCCATAAAATGGTTAAATTCGTTGAAGTCTATGGACTATAGCTTATCTAGAATGAATTAAAAACTCATTGTGTAACGTGACTAAGCACCCCCAAGCCATGCGTGAGTTACCTCCAAACACCACCCCAACATCCTACTCTGTGTGATGGTCTGTGAGTGTAGCTACGGAAGGTTACAATATTCTTCCTTCCTCCCTCTCTCTATCTCACTCTTCTTCTCCTCTATATCTCTTGTTTTCCCACCGGTGAGTATGAATGAAGATCATTTCTTAACCTTTGTGAGAATCAGATGGGAATGTGTTTGGCTTATGTGGTCATCTTCTATATGTAACAATCCTCTCGTGCACTATGTATAGCCTTAAACCCGTAATAGTTGCAAGAATAAGCAATAGATAATGTTTTGAAAATCAAAACTACATCAAACCGGTTATGTTAGTGGTTCGATGGTTTAATGGATTTAACCAGCTCTTAAAAACCAGATGACGCCATATATATTTTGTTTATGTATATAATATGCAACATCTCATATTTATAATTTCTAATAAAAAATAAATTAACGAAAAGTTTAAATATAATAAGAGATTTGAGCAAATGAGATGTAACTACGAAATATTTTTCGCTAGCTTAACTTATCCCACATCGCTCGCCAGAAGAAAAATAAGAGGAGTTGGTGGTTTATAAAAGGAAGTTGAGCAGAAACAGAACGTAAGTCCCACATCGCGCCAGGGTTAAGGATTGGAGCTTGGGCTCTTTATATAACAAGTTAACAGGCTAATTCATCATTTGCCTTGTCTAAAAGACACAGCTACCTCAGAGGCGTGGTTTGTATCGTCGATTCAAAAGTTCTCCCAAATCAACGTTCTGGATTTAGAGCAATTACGTGAGACGTTACCCTTCTCACAGTAAAAAACTCAACGAAGGTATTAATCAAACAAACGCTTAAAATTTCAAACATTTAGCAAATTCAAAATCCCAAAGAAGGTATTAATCTAACAAATGCTTAAAATTTCGAACATTTAGCAATTCAAATAGGAGACGAATGCTCTAAGTGTAAAGGGAATTGGTATTCAAATACGTACTTTGTTTTCCTTATGTTTATGTTTAGAGTTAAACGAACAGTGTTATCGGTTTTGATTACACTGATTGTGAATTGGGTGTAAAGTTTTAGTTGGATTATGACAAAGAAGGGCAGAGTTCCTGATGCTTATTCTGGTGGATTTCTTTCCACCATTGAATCAACCGGAGCAGGTAGTTCTGGGTTGACAGGGCAGGGTAGCATGAACATATCCAATCACCGGGATTCAAGTACCACCAGCAAGAAATGGATGAAGCTGCTCTCTGCATTACGGGTGCAAGTTGTCCCTTTATACAAGATTTCATTTACTGAGAAGCAGAAATGGTTACTTCAGTTGACAATGGAGCTTGACAAGGTTAGGGGCTTAGGGCACTTCATAAGAGACTTGACCTTCATAGTACTCATGGTGTAACAATTTCATCTTCAAGAATAAAACCACGAGGTGCAAAGAACAAGGGGACTTTCAGTCCGGTTCTTAGGAAACAGTGTAAGAACTTGTTGAAGAAGCTGATGTTGCATCGACATGGTTGGGTGTTCAATAAACCCGTTGATATTATTGAATTCAACATTCCAGATTACTACGATGTGATCAAGAATCCCATGGATTTTGGAACTATAAAAGAAAAACTTGGATCAGACAAATATTCAAGCCCAATGGACTTCCTTGCTGATGTAAGACTTACTTTCACCAATGCCATGACATATAACCCTCCAGGCAATCATGCCCATGTCAAGGCAGTTGCTCTCAGTAAGTTTTTTGAGCAAAGGTGGAAACCCATTGAAAAGAAAATCCCTGTGAATGAACCCCAACAAGACAGTTGTTGAAGAGATGGATTTAGGGAAGGTGATGCATCCATCTAAAAAGAGCAAGATTAAGGTGATGCATCCATCTAAAAAGAGCAAGATTACCATGGCGATGATTGATGAAGAGAAGCATAATCTCAGTAGGGATCTGGAAGTTCATCTGGAAAATCTGCCAGATCAGATCATTGATTTTCTCAAGGAACATGCTTCAAATGGAAATGAAACTGGCAAGGATGAAATTGAAGTTGATATTGATGATTTTGACTATGATTCCTTGTTAAAATTACGCAAGATGTTGGATGAGCATGTGCAAGATAAAGGAAATTATACAGAAGTGGAAACTTCTGTTATTTCAATAGTGGCATAGCCACTTAACTTTGCAATCATATAAAGTTTGTTAAAGTTACTATCTTTCTGATACACATTTCGTATCATGATGTGAAATTATATTTGGTGTTTGCCTCCACATTCTATACGATATCAATATTGTAGAGGAATTGATCGAGATAGAAAGTCACAGTTTTTTTAGAAGCATGCATACCACACCTACAAATTAAAGTGGAAATATATGTATATATAAACACACAGATACACACATGTATAGCTATGCACATGCAAATAACTCAATTTTAGACTTTAGAGTATAATGAACGAATGGAAGCAGTTCGAAAGCTCACTATTTTGCTCTAAATATTTGATAAACCTAAAAATTAAGAAACCATATCTTTACAAGCCTCTTTGACTTCTCTAAAAATGGAAATCTCAGCTTGTTTAATCTAATAAGAACTCCATCTTAAGAGAAAAATTCATAGGTTTTGGCATCAATAATAATCTGCCTCAATCCTCCAATAGGCGATACTATCATCAATGCAACACCAAACACAATAGCAACCTGCAAAGTAAGACACACAGACAAGTGTCAACTGAAATAATTATCAAACTCATTGATAATGTTTTCAAGTGCCAGTTAGTTTGTTACGCAAGACCAAACACGTTGTACTGCATTTGCATGAGAACTGGTCCCACCCGAAAAGATTAATCGAAAAATAGTCCTAGAAAGTTTGTCTAGTCTAGCAGTGTAAGAGAATGAACAATGTGTTTGCAGATGTTGTGGTTACATTTACATACCCAGTTAGTAATCCATGATAAGCTCCATTTCTTTGGCATATAGATGGTAAGCCACATGATACAAGGTAACTGAATCATTAAGAACAAAGTAATTAGATACCATAGAGCAAATAAATCAAATGCAAAACAAGATAAACAGCTGCTTACGAAATATGTGGTTGGCGCAAATGCAAATCCCCCAAAGAACCCCAAAAGTCCACCAAAGAATGGGAAGCAGATGCCAATGAACATTGTTAATGCTGCAACCAAGGGACAGATTTAGTTTTATATCAACAAAATGTATAACAATTAATTGCATAACATTATCTAAAGAAATTTCTTTACCAACATAAATATTCCTAGTGATGAATCGAAGCATAAAAGTAGGGTTGAAGTCTAGTTTCTTGACCAACACAGTTTCGATCATGTCAAATACCGGAATGGCATAGATCTACACGTGAACAACAAGAAGTAAATTACAAAAAACCCCTTATAAAATATATTTCTGAAGTGTAAACTATTTCTTTATTCTGACATAGAAATGCAAACCTGGTAGCTTCCAATAACGTGAACAACAACGAACAAATTTGCCATCGCGATGAGCCAAGTGGGCTTGTTTAAACTGATTAAGATATTGTCGGAGACAGCATTTCCGTACATCCAATATCCAATAAGAGCAACCGGAAAGTAGCACAAGGCCACGACTATGTAAGCAACCACCACGCCCTTCCACATCGGACCTTTTGAAGGCTTTTCAGGGGTTGAAGGAATGGTGGCTTGGATCTCCAGCACCACATTGTGGCCAGCGTATGCAAAAGCAATTGTACCCAATGCATTAAAGAAGCTGAACATTGTGCCTATGGCGGACTTAGATTTGTATCCGTATTGAACATCTGGTTGAACGCCCTTTTTCACAGAAGCAGACCACGCGATCGTAGAGTAACTGGATGAGATCACGTAAATAGTGTTAATTTTGGTTTTCGTTTACTTGACATTTCGACGAACATGTTGTGTGCATACCTGAGGGACATGACTGCTGCGGCGAGAGAAACACCGGAGATGGAATTGAAATTAGGGAGATGGGAAAGGACGAAATGGACAGAAGCAAAGATCATGATGAAGTAGGTGAGTTTAATCTCCTTGCACTCACTGCAAACCAAATCGTGGAATTTCTTGAGGGATGTTCCTCCGGTAACCATGTAGACTATGTTGACGCCAACTTCGACGATCAACTGTTGCGGAACCACGATGTAAAGACCAAGTTTTTCGCCGAATGCATGCTGGCCGAGCTCGTGGTATCTGTCGAATCGTTTCCCTGGAACCATTTCGTGCATTTCGACCATTTGCCATAATGTGTATAGAGTTACAATCCAGGATATGGCTAGTACTGCTACTCCAGGACCCCTGAATTTCATGTAATTTAAAGTAACTCCGGTGTGTGTGTGTGTGTGTGAGAGAGAGAGAGAGAGAGAGAGAGAGAGAGAGAGAGAGAGAGGACTGACCATCCAAGTTGGGCCATGGCGTATGGGAGACCGAGAACTCCGGCACCAACCATGGCGGTGACGTTGTGAAAGGCAGAGTACCACCATTTCGCGTTCCTTGAGGAAGTAATCGGAAGCCACTCGTCGATTGCTTTCTCTCTTGCAGTTCTGTTGTCAACCTGTTACACATAATCAATACATTAAACAAAACAAAAAGAAAAAGAAAAAAAGGGTTTCACAACCAAGGAAAAACCCGAAGATAACGACCAACTTTTGTTTATTTGTTTGTTGTAGTATACTAGTATTTTATTCTTAATATTCTAATATGAATATCCAAAATGATTATTCTATTAATAAATTTCGTATTCTGATGACAATTTTTAATTGACTACATCTATTAAAAAATATATTATATTACAAAAGAAAGAAATGAAAAAGTAACTATTATAATAAACTTTCGTTATTAATATTTCGCATATATCAGAAAAGGGTTGAAAATTAGAAGCATTGAACGGAAATCATTTCGGGCACGTTAAAGCCTGTGTCACGCTAAGCATTTCTTTAAAGGATACATAATATTCAAATCACGTGTATACAACATTCTAGCATGGCAAGATTTTTGTGTGGTGATTATAACTTATAAGGTTTAAATGTAAAATATCTTTAAGATCTCTTCCTTATTTGATCAATTGAGTAATGTATTTTTAACTTTTTGATGTATGAAGATAATAAATATTTATAAAAAATTAATCATTTAATGCTATTTATTGTTTTACATTATATGATAAAATTGATAAATTAAATATGATGAATAGCTTTATTTATAAGTGTAGTGATTTATTATAAAAAAATAATCATTTAATGCTATTTATTGTTTTACATTATATGATAAAATTGATAAATTAAATATGATGAATAGCTTTATTTATAAGTGTAGTGATTTATTTTGTTCAAAATGGCAACAATTAATTATGGCCTGATATTTCAGAAAGTTTATAGTACTGTAGTTTATTATTATTATTATTATTATTATTATTATTATTATTATTATTTTTATTTTTAATGATGAGTACTGTTTAAAAACATAGTTCAATATAATTAACAAAAAGATTTCGTTACCAAAAATAATAATAATAACATGAGAAATTAAATATCCCTATACTTTTATTCCTATAAATCCTCCTACCCAATTAAATCAAAACATGTGTCATATTATTATACTAAAATTTCATTAAATAAGCATTAAATGCTACACATGTTATTCTTTAATTAGGTAGGAAGATTTGTAAAAACAAGGAAGATTTGTAAAAACAAAAAATAGAAGGATATTTAATTTCTCTATAAATATTGGTAATTGAGTGCCTTATTTGATTTGATTAAGGGGGTATTTAATAATTTTTTACCATTCATATAAATGATTAATAAATAGTACGTTTTACATAATTTGATTTTTCAAAAATTATTCGACTACTAATCGAAACTTGTAATAATAATAAAGAATAAAGAATCGCTCATAAACAAATCAAAGCACCGATAAAGTTAAAAGAATAAGCTTGTCAAAACTTGTTAAAAAATGTTTTTTTTTTTTTTTTTTTTAAATACTTTAAAGTTTTACCTTTGAATGTTATTTGTATAACATTTTACCAAACGTGTAACAACCTAGCAAAATTTCAGCTTTATCTATGTATCATGGAAAATCTTTTCCCAAAATGATGTGCAATTTACCCCCTCACTATAAACAAAAAATGCCTTTTAGGTCTCCTACACTTTTGGAGAAGATACGGATCTGGCACCTGAGGCTAAAGGCACATGAACATACATACAGTCACGAGAAGCAACTCAAACTATCGTTCAGATTCAAGTCGATATCGTCGATCGTTGATCAAATCGTGAAAACGGGAACTCAATTCAGATCTCGTGAAATCATATAATTAATCGAAGATCACATAAAAGTTCTTAAACATGCTTCGTAACTGATCGTTCAGATTACGTTTTTCGATCATGGAGATCGATCGTTCGAAAAAGAAAAAAAAAATCTAAACATGTCGTCGAGATTGATCGATCAATCGTAAACTAAACCAAACATTAATAAAACGAAAACAGAATTATATTCAGAAATGAACCTTCCCGTTGCCGCTGTTGTTATCGCCTTCCATACGACCTTGTGTATCCATTGAAGAAGGAAATGGAAGCAGATGTGTCGATGAATTGAGGGAGCAGAAACCAAACACAGAGTGAGTGATGGAGTGCTTAATTGCGGATATTGGGAGGAAATAGAGTCGATCGGTATATATAAAGAAATAAATTAGTGGAGGGTGGCAACTGGCAACAGGGAAGCCGTTGAGATTAGAGTCACAGAGATGGTGTGAGGTGAGGGAGAGAATTAAGAGGGGTGTGATCTGAACTTTTGAAGGCGACGCCTTTGGTTGACTTGTAGGTTATATACTATGAGCAAGGGATTTGGTCAAATAGGATTATTTTCTGTTTTGCGTAATACTAGTGATTAATCCTTTCTGTCGTAAGTTTTGACCAAACAAACCTAACAGATTAGGTATGGTAATGAGTTTAATATTTAAATTATTATCTTTTTTATAATTATTTTTATTCTAATAATAATAATAATTCAGTTAGCGTAATTGTTATTTTATACGCATGAAAATATTGAAATGATGAAATATATATTTTCTCGAATAGCTGGTTTTAAGAATAGAATAGATAGTTTTGTGTGGTTATGTTTTTGGTTTTAATTTTCTATTTATATTTATGAAAATTATAGTTT